CCCCTGCACCCTGAAACCCAGAAACAATCCCATGTTCAAACCCAGATCTGACTGACTCAACACTCTGGCCCTGAGGCTATGCTGCATTGAGAAGCCAAATTAAGATAAGGATGTACAGCTGCTCTGGCCAGGCATCTGTCACTAAAATAATTAGCAGAATAAAATCTACTGATCTGCTTTGGTATACAAATATCCCCCAAAGAGAGTTCGGGAGACAGAGAATCAATTTTTGAGTCCTGGTCTTGCCTCTTATTGACTACAAAACATTGGGTACATCAGTGCACCTTTCTAAGAGTGTATCTCTCTCTAAAAAACACTCCTGTGGCCACATGATCTTAGTCAGGGCCTCTGTTTTTCATAAGATGGTATAAACTCTGTCTTCTTTTTGAGGTTACCTGATAGCACACACATATCTTTACTCCAGTTTTCTTGTTTCTGTGTTTTTGTTAGAAATTATATTATCAAATGTTCATTTGTGAGGAATGGTATTGATGTGTATTGTCTGAAACATAAGCAGTCTATTTATTACTAAGAGTATCATACCTTTTATCCTTGGATCAGCCAAATTTAAAGAACAGCATGAGTGGACTTAATGGACTCCCCTTAATGAATATCATATATTGAACTCTGGCTTAATTTTCATGCCTTTAGCTTACATCAAAGGATTTAAAGGATCAAAGAATTACTGTAGATATATTACTAGATATCTAGATGATAGAGAGAAGATGATGAAAATGGATAGTTAGATAGATAGATAGATGGGCTAAAATGTTGACCATCATATCCCACTACCCTCAGAAGGATAGATATGAGAAATTTAGCAGGCCCATGCACTCACACAATTTATGAACAAACATGAGTCTCCTAATGCATCGCATTTCCATTTCTGTGGCTTGGCTTTTAGGAAGCTCGGAGCTAAATTTGTAGCTTGTCTTTGGTGCTGGTACAGCGTGTTCTGGTGGGCATTTCTGTGGACGTACTTTGCCTCTGCTTCTTACTTCCCTGTCCTCATTTTCCCATTCCACCTACTTGCCTTGCCTATCTTTGTCCCATCATATTGCATGTATTTATGTAAGTGTAACTCAGTTTATTTTAGGAATTAAGAAGGATGTAAAGTTAATCATTAAAACATTAAAGTCTGAGGAACTCTTCAGTGGAGAAGCTTGATGAAGGCTCAGGTGATCAAGGCAACATATCAGTGATCAATCATGTTGATACTATGTAACATTGATAAAATGTAATGAGAATGGTTCTTTACCTATGTGATCTTCCTCCCCCAAACCCATAACCCCAGTGTAATAATGAGAACAACATCAAACAGATCCCAATAGAGGGAAATTTGGCAAAATACCTGACCTATAGCCTTCAAAACTGTCCAGGCCATTACAATAGAAAGTCTGAGAAACTGTCATAGCCAGGAGGGGCCTAAAGAGGTTTGATAACTAAATATATTGTCTTATTCTAGATGGGATTCCGTGACAAAAAAGAGACAGCAGGCAAAAACAAGAGACATTTAAATAAAATAGAAACTTTAGTTAATAGTCAATATTGGTTCGCTAATGATGGCAAAGGAGCTATTCTTATTTAGGAAGATAGTAATAAGAGAAACATGAATACAGTTGTGTGGGAACTACCTTCACAAGCTTTCTATACAACTGAAACTATTCTAAAATAGAACATATGCATTTATAAAAATAAAATGTTTATAAAAACAAAAAAGGCTAATATTAAAGGTGTGGAATGACTGAGATACTACCTATGGTAGAGTTTTGCACACTACAAAGTGCAAGAAAAGTACATTTCCTGTGTGTCTGTGTGACTCGTGCAAGTGGGTGACAGGTGATATTTCCTGACAAAGACTTCTTCTGTGATTAAGTTAGTTCAGTAAATTTTTGGGGAAAGGTCACAGAATGTAAGCCTAAGAACAGTGGTCACTGCAGTGCCTGCAGGTCAGATGTCTCCCACGTGAAATCTCGTGTTAAGTAAGATGAGCAGCTGAGAAGAAAGAGGAACAAATGGGGAACGTCATCTTTCCTCAAATCTAACTTCCTTGGCAGCTCTCTCTGTCAACAAGGGAAGAGTCACAAAACCCTGTAGTCAAAGGGCCCTTTGGTCAATGTGAGGGTGTCCTTATGAATCTCTAAGTTTCTCCTTGACATTGGAAACCAGCTGTCTCTTTGTCATTTAACCGCAGCTGCTGCACTCAGGCACAGTTTTGACAGTTCTCAGGCACCCCGGGATCTAGTAACTTTTCTTAATATGCTTCTTTCTTAAAGGAAGTCAGTTCAGCCTTCTGGTCTGGGTTCGTCTTAGCCATCCTCTCTGGTCTTCAAATTCATGTATTGCCTCTTACCTCAGGAGCAAAACTTCAGAATGGGTGCTGGATTACCTAGGATTGGAATTGGTTACAGTAGAGACCCAACATAACAGTGACATAAATACGATCAATGTCCATTTTTTCTCCCACAGAGAAGTCCTAAAAAGAGTAACTTGGGTCTTGTGTGGTGTCTCCCTAGTTGTGTGGAAATCAGGGAATTTTTACTTTTCCTCTCCACCATCCCCAGTGTGTGGCCTGCAAGAGCATGGCCCAGGATAAAGCTAGAAAGCTAGAGACATCATGTTCCAGTGCAGGTAGGTGGAATGGAGACAGGAAGAAAAGAGGTGAGGGTCATATGTCGGCAATCTTATAAGGAAGGCTCTCAGAAGCTAATTCTGGAAGGTGACGTTCTTTGATAATAGAGTTTCTCTCTAAGCGAAATGAGAAAAATGGACATTGAGAAATACCCAAGAACCTCTGTTGCATTACTCATTTTTATGCTTAGCACTTAATCACACTTTCCTCCAATGTTAAAAAATTTTCCTGGGGAAACTCAAGCTCTGCTCTCAGTTCTACTCTGTACTAAATATACGACCGGTCAAATCACTTAACCTCTCTGAGAGGCTGAGTAAAATAAGGCTAACAACTTCTCCTCTTTCATCCTCTAAGGGTTAAATTAGCTAAGCACATATGAAAGGACTCAGGAAGAGTGGATTGTCAATGACCATACTCTACGAAATACAGGGTGATGCCATCCTCATTATTCATCTCATTTTTCTGGTTGTCTCTTATGGTATGTGTCTCCTGCCAACCTATCTTCCTTTCAAAATGCACATATAAATCTGTGAATAATACTTTTTCCAAAATGTATATATCCTTAAGTTTAAAGTGTTATCTTATTAATAACAAATTTCCCAAAGTGAAAAAGAGGCAATAAGAGCATTAAATGTTCACATTATTTCTTAAACCCATTCTGATTTAAGAACCGTGATATGATTAAATGGGAGTCTGTATTTTTTTTTTTTTTTTTTTTTGAGACGGAGTTTCGCTCTTGTTACCCAGGCTGGAGTGCAATGGCGCGATCTCGGCTCACCGCAACCTCCGCCTCTTGGGTTCAGGCAATTTTCCTGCCTCAGCCTCCTGAGTAGCTGGGATTACAGGCATGCGCCACCATGGCCAGCTAATTTTTTGTATTTTTAGTAGAGACGGGGTTTCACCATGTTGACCAAGATGGTCTCAATCTCTTGACCTCGTGATCCACCCGCCTCGGCCTCCCAAAGTGCTGGGATTACAGGCATGAGCCACCGCGCCCGGCCCGAGTCTGTATTTTTTAAAAATCAAATGTAATTGGTAGGAGGCAAGCAGCAGATTTATGACTAAAAATACGCAAATAAGAGCTGATATCTAGTAATCAGAACATGATGTATTAATGGACTTTGAGAATTAGAGAGACACGGGTTCAAATCAGTGAACCTGTGAATCTATTAAAGCTTGAACCATTTTGTAGATTTTTGCAGCTGAAATATCCCATTTTTGTTGATGTGTCATGTTAAGATTTTTTCCCTATGTCTTTTCCCAATAATAGAGGCACAGAGTAAAACATGGTGATCTGAGTCTTACAAGGCAATGAATGATAAGTCACAGTTTTGGGCCCTTATTTTGTAGTTCTTCATGCATGGGGTACCTCATAGATCCACACAACTTTAGGTAATGATATTCTCATCATTCCTGTTTTATGGATAAGGATGTTGAAGGTTAGAGAGTTCAATTGCCACGGTTATCTAGCTGGCAAGTGGTGAAGCCAGAGAAAAGACTTCAGAAGTCAATGTCAAACCCAAACTCTTGGATCTTCATTAACTGATCAAAATGTAATTCACTGAAAGCCATTTTGGCAAATATTAACATATGATCAATTTGCCAAAAACTACCAAAGGAAGTACACAGTTAAGGCTAGTACAGACACAGAATTCAGGCAGAATGCAAATCTGCAAGAGATACTTAGCCTTTAAGAAACAGCCCAGCCATTCCACAACAAAATGACGGCTACTATAAAAGCCAACAAACTGGTCTGGTGAGTGTCTTGGCAGAAATAAAACCTTTACATAGTGAAACACTGAAGAACATTTCTAATTTGGTTAATTGGATGCTTTATAAATGGATTATTTCCTGAATTAAATTTTCGTTAACTGGCCAGTATCCCAACCTCTCAACCATCACAGTCTACTGCCAGGTCAGTTTCTTTTTAAATGCCAGTCTTGTTTTTTGTCAGTGTAAATACTTATGTGTCATTAGTGTTCTAAGCATGTCATTTACTCAGAACATGCATCAGAGCAAAAGAGTACAATCCAGGACTGATTACCTGACTGCTATGGAACAACACAGGTGGTGAAATGTTGCATAAAAACAAGCAAACAAATGATAATAAAGCTTCTCCGGCAGAATCATAATTACATCAGGCTGGGGTATGCTGGGGTATGATCACTAGACTGATAGGCAAAGGGCACCGCCATCCAACTATCTAAGAGTCAAGATTTGGACTCAATAATCCTAACAGCCAGAGGACTGAAGGAAATGGGAAGAAGAAAAGAATTAACACGCCATGCCTTCACTATACATCAAATAATATCTGTTTAATTATAACAACGGTATTCCTCGAAGGGCACTTTTGTCCCCATTTGATTGATAAAAGAAAGCGATAAAAATATAGCATACATAATTTGCCCTTTTTCCTAGGCCAGACAATTCCATTGGCTAAGTAAGCTTCTCTAGCCTCCACTTTTATAAACAGGCGTTTTCTATGTCATTCTCAAACGTAATAACAATAATAATCTTGTCCACTACTGCTTATTGTTCCATAGCTATGTGAGCTTGGATTCAAGTCTAAATCACTCTGACTCCATGGTTCAGGCTCACTACTGATGCTGGAGAGGGAAAAAAAAGGATTCTGCAGGTAGCCAGAAATCATTGCCTTCAAGAGAGAGTGGTGTTCCTTGTGTGTGTTTTTAATGGGACGGTTTTAAAAATACAATATAATAATGTTCTCATCTTTATAAGCCTAAGCCTATAGTCCAAGTTCTTACTTGTGATTTACAAAGATTGTTATTAACTTATATTTTATGTTTCAATATGATGCTAACTCTTGAGGCTCTTGAGATATGTAGATCTGCTTTGCAACTCTTTAGCTTACCTTTTGACCAGAGAAATCACAATTTTCACTTCTTTCCGCTGGCAGTGTGTTTGATAATTCTAATTTGTCTCTTTATTAAAAAAGCAGCTCTTTATAAATGACCTCTTCCATCTAGCTAAGTACATGCATATTTGTTGACAGAGTTTGTGGTCTTTCCAATACTTACTTTTTCCACTCTTAAATGTGTCTTAATTCATTTATATCAGGCTCCACATTAGGATTGAAGATTTGATAGATGGGGAATCAAGTAATAAAAGTGAATTATGAGAAGAGTTAAAACACCTAACTTTTTTCTTTTTTGTAATCTTCTTTAATTAAGTCCTTTTGTTAATTTAAAACAACAACAAAATCTTAGTGTTAGTAATTTGTAGCCACCCATCCTCCCCCAAAGATAGCCAATATTCTTCTTTTTTGGTTCCAATTCAAGTGAAATGAAATAAGCCGATGTCTTTGCCAGGCGAGTGTGTGGTCATAGTGTCCATATCAGAAATGCTTATTTTGTTCTTATGTCCTTTAGCTCAACTCCAGAAGAGTAATCTTCCATGTCAGGCCTGATCACCATATTAGTAAGATCAGGGGCAGGTATACTCCATAAAGGCATCACCAGCTTCACTGGCTCCCACAGGACGAGGCTGGCATTGAGATTCAAGAACAGATGGATCCCCAGTGGGAATCGGGAGAACTGGATCAGCTGCTGGAGGAGGGGAGGCCTTTTTGCAGTAGACAGGCTGATCCTATGAGCAGGCTCTTGTCTCCAGGCTCTCAGGCACCAGCTCCTGGGGGAACCTGCCAGACTAAAGTGTAGACTTGTTGAGAGAATAGCAATTTTGTAAAAAGCACTGGGTAGCGTTATATGGCTTTATTTCCTAAGTGTTCTTCAGCAAATGCTCTTAGCCTATTTACACTTCTTAAACATACTAACAATTCAGGCTGAAAATCAAATTCAATTCTCCTCTTATCTTTGCCAATTTCCTCTGCTTCTGAGTCCTTAATGGACCAGGTACAAATATGTAAATATCATGCTTTATTTAGGTAATTAATTTCCATAAGGTCAAGACTGAGTGATAAGAATACTACCTTCATTTTATGAATAATTCATTTCTGTGGAATATTTTATTCATTCAGACTTTATGGAAACAGTGTAAACTTTTAAGTACCCATATCTGTGACTGAATCCCAGTTATATCTCTATAAGCTGAGTGGCTGGGCAGCTTGCTTAATCTTTCTCAGCCTCTCTGTCTCCATCTAAAAGGTGAGTTTAATAATACTGCAAATGCTCATATTATGATAGGACTTTAAATAAATAAATACATATAAAATATATATGTTAGATATACAGATAGATGCTTCATTTCTGTCATTTTACTTTCTTCCCAGTCTTGGGTGCCTTAAAAAAATTCAGCTAAATCAGAATTTTTAATTTAACTAACATTTTGCTTGAAAAAAATGACAGTGAATACACAAATAGCCTGGGTAGTTAAATAAATAAAAAGAAGCAAGTAGGCAAAACTAATAGGACACATAAGCATACATTTAAGAATGTAGGAATTTAGCATGTATTTTGTGCTTAACACAATGATGAATTTTTTTGTACATCATCCTATGTGAGCTTTATAATACATCCAGTAAAATGAATTAATACTTTTATCATCTCTATTTTACAGCTGGGAACTTTCCAGAGGGGTTAAGTTACTTGGTCAAAGTCACCCTGAGAATGTGTCAGATTTAGGTATGTGTTTACCATGAAGCACGTGAAGCTTAAGATGCCCAACTTTCACAAGGCCCTTCAACTGCTGGCAGAAACCCAGAAAAGAGTTCCAACAGCGATACACTATTGTAAACTTTGCAAAAGTATTATATAAATTCTAGGTGAAACAACACATGTGCTGTGGTTGGAATATGGTTTGTGCCCACTAAAACTCAAGTGGAGGCTTGGACCCCAGTGTGTTGGTGTTGAGAGGTGGTGGGAGGTTTGGAGATCTCCACCCTCATGAAGGCATTAATACTATCTCATGGAAGTGAGATACACTCCGGGGACTGAATTAGTTTCCACAAAAGTGGGTTGTTATACCATAAGATTGTCCCACATGTTTTGCCTGTTTTTCACACACTCTTATCTTGTGGTGCTATCCGCCATATCATAATGTAGCATGACGTTCTGGCCAGCTGTAGCTGTCTGACCTTGAACTCCCAGCCACCAGAACCATGAGCTAAATAACCTCTTTTATCGTTATCATTTTTTAAATAAATTACTCACCCTCAGAAAATGGACTAAGATGATATGCATTTGCTCCTGTTAAAAGTATCTTCTCAGTAAGACCTCTCTGTACTAAACTAAAATTTCAACCTTCTAATCCCTCTTTTAATTTCCTTTTATCCCTACGCTTACCATGATCTAATATCTTTAGATATATATTTTAATAATTTATCTTGTTTGTTGTTAACTCCCTCATTAAAATGGAAGATAAACAAGGGCGGATTTTTTTTTTTCTGTTATACTCTAGCACCGACAGCAGTATCTAGCACATAGTAACAATTCAATACAAATTTGTTAAATGAATGAATGAATTGGAATTCCTCTGAATTGGAATTCAAATTCCAGAACCTGTGTCTTTTACCATAGCATTATACTGCCTCCCTGAGGGAAACACTCCCCTTTCATCATAGACAACCTCATTTTTTCCCTATGTGTATGTGAACAAAAATCCAACTCATAAGGCTTTGAATTGCCTCTGAGATAATGATGAATCGGTTACCATTTAATTGTATCTAAGAATTATGGAACAACATTTGAGACCTGACAGGTATAGAGCAACAGACGAAGCCCAATTAAGGGAAACGTATCCCTGAAGAAGAGGCTTGCAACAGGAAAGTTGAAAATGGAAGTAACAGAAAACATGGTTCCACATGCTGAGCCTGTTCCCCTAACTCAGGTGAATGAGAGTGTAAGTGCAAGATTCTGCTGAAAGCCGATGCTCTCTTGGATCTACGTCCCAAGTTAAACTGTTAAAATCCTTCCTCCACGAAAGGGAGCATAGATAATATCACATAGAAGATCCTCCTTGTAAGTTACTTCTCTTGTTTGCATTTCTCAGGGAATATATGTCTAATAATACCAAGGCTAAAAACAATCATGTTTTTAAAGATTAGCCATCTCATACATAAAATATAACACACTGCATGTATTATAGAGTCACAAGGAGACTCAAGTTATGTTTACACATCAAAATCCAACCAACAATGTATAATTACAATGTACTCCTCAATATTAATTATTTTCATTAATTAGCTGATCAAAATATTCTTATGAACTACATATTTGATTTTTTCCAGAGGAAAAAATCTGTATGATTCCATGCTGTTTACAACTGTCCTAAAGGTTTCAGTTCACGTTTCTTCCTTACTATGTATTGAAGATGTGAAAATGCACCATTATAAATCAGCTGTCTGATATTCAGGGTTACCTTAAAGATAAAGGTTGAATCCTGCAAAAATTTGAATTAGTTAATGCCCCTAGATCCTCCCTGGGAAGTTTATTTGGGGCTGGGGGACATACATCCCAAATTCAAAATGTTTCACTGCTAGTATATGCAATTCTTGAATTTTAGACTTTAAAGGTCTCATTAATTCCCCCATTTTGATCCTGAGACCCAAAGAGAATAAATGCCCTCCTCAGTGTTCCACAAACAACAGTTCAGGGCAGAAGCAAGCCTTCAAATGCCACTTGTGTCAGACACAGATTATGTTCACCTGCTGGGACTCCCTCAGCCCTGGCCACTTCCTGCACTTGCTCAGCCACTTCTCTGAGTGACCCTTCCAGGCTTGCCCTGAGAGTATACTCTCACCAGACACTGAATCAGTTGGTGCCTTGATCTTAAACTTCCTGGACTCCAGTACTGTGAGAAATAAATTTCTGTTGTTCATGAGCCTCCCAGTTTATGGTATTTTGTTATACAGCCTGAACAAACTAAGACTAGTAATGTTTCAAATCTGGGAGCTTTTTCAGAAGATAAAAGCCACCTCAAATACAATTAAGGTTTTCTCTAGTTACTCAAATCCCACAATGAAACCATGCAGGTAATCAAGATATAAGAAAAAAAAATATCTATATGAAAATATATCAAGTGGAAATATCAAGGAGCCATAAAAACAATAAATATTTCCAAAAAGTATTGTACTAGCTATTTGTGTCATTTCTATAAAAAAGAAATAATTGAGTAAGGATTGGCCTCAGTCATGTTTGGCCAGTTGGTTCTCTGCCAGGATCCCCAGACATGGGGAGTAAGGTGAAGCTGATAATGCCATCGTGGCATTCCCAGAACGAAGGGCATTTGCAGTAAGAAGAAAAGGCTTCTGTATTTTGCCTTTAGAAATAAATGCATAATTGGCACAAAACTCAAATAATTTCTCAAACTATATTGGGAACTATATGTCTTGATTTTGCTACTAAAATCTTATTTGAAATTGGCAAAGACACTTAATATTCCTGGTTTCATTTATGTCATTGAACCCTGTTTTCCTTAATAGATCCCTTTGAGAATATACATTTTTAGAACTGTGGATTCTTTTTATAGGAATATGCACATAAAGTCTTACTCAAAAATTATAATAAGTTACAGCGATTTTTCTAACTCCTTAAAACCCACCCATGTATTTCAAGTTGCAAGCTCCTTATCTTGATGATAATGATTATAAATTTGTATCAAGAAAGGCAGAGAGCTGTTACCCAGAAAAACTCAGACGGAGATAGTATGCGCCATCTTTGAATCCAATTAGCCTTGCAGTTGATAGAGCTTTTAGGAGGGAGACTCAAAGAAGATTAAGTTCACAAAGGCAAAGAATAAAGCTACTACATGGAAGGATCCTCACCAAAAGAAGGACTTCTAATGTTAAGGTTTATTTCTCAAGACAGCTACCATGCTTTAGCTCCCATTGTTCCTGTTGCTTCCTTATTCTACAGAAGGTTACCTCTTTTTTCTTCTTCTTAATTTTAATTTTTAATTTTGGGGGCACATAGTAGGTAGATATATTTATGGGATACATGAAATATTTTTAAACAGGCATGCAATGTGTAATAATCACATCACGGTAAATGGAATATCCAGCACCTCAAGCATTATCCTTTGTGTTACAGCTAATCCAAGATATTTTTTTAAATATACAATAAATTATTTTGACTACAGTCACTCTGTTGTGCTAACAAATACTAGGTCTTAGCCATTCTTTCTAACTATCATTTTTGTACTCAGTAACCCTCTCCACTTCCCTGAAATACCCCCACACTACATTTCCCAGTGATGATAACTATCCTTCTACTCTCTATTTCCATGAGTTCAATTGTTTTAGGTTTTAGATCCCACATGTGAAGAATCTAAATGAGAACATGTGAAGTTTGTCCTTCTGTGCCTAGCTTATTTCACTTTCTATAATGACCTCCAATTTCATACATATTCCTCTTGTTGATAGGAAAATCGGGAATCAACATAAAGAAGGATGTAGAAGGGCCTTATGTACCTAAATATGTAAGGGACCATTATTGATTTTTTGCCAGCAACCACCCATTTTCTTGCCCTGAATTTTAGAGCAGAACTCTCTTCTTCATTATAGTCAGACATGGAAGAAGACAATTCCAACTTCATGAGATAAGGTCAGAATCCTCTTTCCAGTACAGGTAGGGAATGGGAATGTGACCTAATCTTGGCCAAGCAGTCAAGCTTTCAGGGACCTTTGAATACTGAGTCTCTGATGCAAAGCAGAATATAGAGCAAGCAGAGGTTTGAGTGACATGGCACTA